TTATGAGATGGTTAAAAGTTGGATTGGATGAAGAGGGAGTCTACCAGGTATATGAGAGGCCTAGAAAAGGTCTTCAGTATGTTCAAGTAGATAATCTCTTACCAGGGCAAATGTCTATGGACAAAGGGCAGGGCAGGTAGGGGTAGGTGGCAGGGGAACTTAGGGAATTTGTAAACAAAATACTCTCTTTCTTTTAGTGCTAAAATTTTTTCATCTCTTGGCTTTTGGAATGTTTGAAAAAGTGCAGCATTTTATTTTCTCTGGGACTTTATATTTCTATTTTCAAATACTTAAAGCAGTTTGGCACAGATTTTAGTTTCTTATTCTTCTTCAGGGTGAAAATCACTATATTTTATTGTTCTTCAGAAGCCAGACAACAAAAGGAAAAAATGTTGCCAGATTATGCTCTCTCTGAGAACATTTACGTTACCCTTCTCTATTTCTCTACAGAGTTTTATAAAGAATTAAAGGACATGAAAGGAAACCTGCCACTCACATGACAAAGAGTTTATTCCATATTTACTTTTAAGCAATTGAGTGAGCTTTTTGGCATCTTATTCACACTTGTCTGTAATTAGCGTTTGGTGTCCTCTTCATATTGTTTCATTCCTATTAACATCCACACTGGTGACTTGCCATTAATCATGTTGCAGACTCCTTTGTGCTACTTGGGTGTCTAAGATTCTAACTCATTAAAAAGTCAGCACTTTCTCTTGTCTTTGGTCCTTCGCATTGCTTCTATCAATTGAAACTTCCTCCTTTTTTCATATTGCCAGCTTTTTTTTTTTTTTTTTTTNAAAAAAAAAAAAAAAAGAAAAGAAAAAGAATATTGGGTTTATCATAAAGTGCCAGATGGATCATAGGTACAAGATATTGGAGAAAAAGAGCCTGGGCAGAGATTGATAATATTTGTCCGGGGAGAGATTATGAGACTCTACTTAGTTCAGTGGTCATGGGAGGGCCTTAAGAGATAAAAGGCAGGATACCCAGCATGAATGAATCCTACATCTTTGGTAAACCTCAATCTCAGATTTTTGGTCCAGATTTTCTTAGAAATTAGTGATACCTTCACCAAAGAAGAAATCTAGGAGATGAATTAGAGAACATGGACATCGAGAGATGTGCTGACTGTGAGATGCCAACAGGTCTGAGAGAGCGTGTCCAGGGGTAAAATATAGGCCCAGCTTCCCTTCCCAGGTATCTTCCTGGGCCTTCTAGACAGCAGCAGCCCTTAGAGTCTTTTTTTTTCTTGGATTGTGGTTTATAAAAAAAACATAAAATTTGTCACTTCAACCATTTTTAAATCCATAATTCAGTGGCCTTAAAGACATTCACAATGTTGTCACAGTATTTATTTCCAGAAAATTATCATCATGCCAATCAGAAACTCAACGGCCCTTAAATAATGGCCTTTAATGCCCCCCTCCCTGCCACAGCCTATTCAGTCTTGCTGGATTTCATGTCACACTCCTTTAATAGCAGCTCAGAAAGGAAAGCCTTTCCACAGTTAACCCCAATGTGATTAGTTGAATAATGGTGAAAGAGTGAGCACCTTGCAACCCCCAGTCTTAAAAGGCTATGAAAATAGCTAAGGAAAAGTCCTTGAGGTAACAGCCCTGGTGATGCTGGGAGTCCTGTAAGTATCACAAGGGACTCTTGTCCCAGCTACTGCCTCCCCAAGTCACTGGATTACTTCACCCATAGGAGCTGAAGGTATGAGAATGGGGATGGCAGGGGCTCTACTTACACAGAGATAGGCACATATGCCCCAGATGGAGCCTGAGCATCACTTGATTTCAACAGCTTCCCAGTGGATTCCAAAACAGAGCCAGGGCTGAGGATCACTGGGTAGGACATTCGTCATTCTCATGTTCATTAGTGGGAACAATCTTGGACCTTCTTGGGTACTAAGGAGGATGAAGTGAGACAGAACTTGGGAGCCTTCCAACAAAATGCATATCAGGCTGGGCACGGTGGCTCACGCCTGTAATCCCAGCACTTTGGGAGGCCAAGGTAGATGGATCACCTGAGGTCAGGGGTTCAAGACCAGCCTGATCAACATGGAGAAACCCTGTCTCTACTAAAAATACAAAATTAGCTGGGCGTGGTGGCACATGTCTGTAATCCCAGCTACTCGGGAGGCTGAGGCAGGAAATTCACTTGAACCTAGGAGGTGGAGGTTGCAGTGAGCCAAGATTGGGCCATTGCACTCCAGCCTGGGTAACAAGAGAGAAACTCATCTAAAAAAAAAATGCATATCAGGATGATCAATGAATAGAAACTTTTAGTAGTTGTAAGCATTATAATAATGATTGCTATAATTTGTTGAGTGCTTTATAGTATCAATTTATTTAATATGTTCTCACAACAATACTATGATATGCATCCTATATCACAGAAAGATAAACTGATAATAAAAAAGGGATGTCTATGTATCTGGGCACATATGTGTATAAAGATATAATATAAGGTATGGGAATCCTAGAGGGCTTCACAGAGGAGGAGACATCTGAAGTGGATTCTATAAATGAAGTTGTCAGATACCATAGTGAGAGAAGGCTATACAGGGAAAGGGAGACCCATATGCACTTATGCAGGAGCGTGAAAAACATGAGGCCTAAGAAATGAGATATAAACAAATGTGACTGAGCACAGAGTGCCTGAGGGAAGAGGAGAGGAGGAGACAAAGGCTACCAGAAGCAGGGACTTGGAAGTCCTTGTGTGCAACACAAGGGTGTGGACTTGCTTCTCCAGCAGTGGTTCCCCTCTGGTTTTCTCTCACTGTTTTGAGAGCTCCATAAATTCTTGTATCTGCCACACACAGCAGCACATGCTATGTCTGCTGATAATAAGTTTCATATATTTAGGTTCTATGTTTAAGTGTACATAATTTCTGGTGTGATTAAAATACATATTTCTTTTAAAAGCAATGTTTAATTAATAATAACTTATCTACTCTTCTGCCAATTGTATAATGATGACTATTATCATATAAAGATAGATTTGGGGTAAAAAAGAATTTCCCTGACTTGAAACCCTTGAGAACCAGTGCCCTCTGGTCATTTAGAGTTGTTGACAGGAGAAGAAGATCACGTTTTAGATTTAGGAGACTCACTGTGGCATGAATGAGAAGGATGTATTGTAGGAAGCCTTCACAGAGGCTGCAAGACAATTTAGGAGAATTTGGTCTGAGCTGGGAAGGACATAGACCACAGTGTGATGTGACTGTGTGATGGGACAGAAGCAAGTTGTGAAGGTGATTCTTGGGCAATGGAGGGAATAGAACATAGTGCACTGCTAGGAGTCAGGAGGGAGGGGAGCTGTAGTTGGCTGCCTCATGCCCGCCTCGAAGAAACCCACGTCCTAATCCCTGAAATCTGTGAATGTTCCATTATGTGACAAAAAAAGCACTTGGCAGACATGATTAATTTAGGGATGATGAGATGGGGTGTTATTCTGAATAATCTGTGGGGTCTCAAAACCAAACCTGTGTAGTTTGTGATTAAAAGTCAGAGTGGGTGGGGCTTGATATAGAAAGAAAAGGGGAAGGGAAACTAACATGGAGGCAGAGGTTGGAATGATGTGGTCACGGGACCAGGACAATTATCAGCCCAGAAGCCAGAAGCAGCCCTTAGTGAAAATCCCCAAAAGCCCCCAAAGGGAGCAGAGCCCTGCTACCCACTGACCTCTTCACAGTGATACTAATGTTGGGCTTCTGACCCCGGAGATGCCTGAGAATCAGTTGTTTTAAGCCACAAAGTTTGCAGAGTTTTGTCCCAGTAGCCACAGGACACTTGTGGCATCTCCCTGGGTCCTGGTCAGGGGACTTGCTGGGTGGGTACATTAGCCTGGATGGGCTCATGGAGAGGAGAGCAGGCTGGGGGCAGACCCTGTGTGCTCCGTTTCACATCCTGCTCCCGAAATGACTGTTGAATGCACTCTGGGAGCTGTCCAGTTGGCAGGGGTGCTGGTCCTTGAAGCTCTTGGGAGAACCTGAGGAAGGAAGCGTTTGCCTCAGGTGCTGGTGAGTAATGCAGACACTGATGAGTGCTCTGAGTGTGGGGAGTGAAACAATGTGAACTCCAGGCTGAAAACTGAAGAGGCCCCCAAATTGTGATACATGGAAAATAAAGTATACTGGACGTGACAGGGGAGAGAAACCATAGTGCAGAGGTGGCACCAAGCAGGCTGACTGTGGGTCTGAGGGGACATCACAGTAGTCTCTACTGGGTGGTAACCCTGGGCCTGGACACCGATTCAGGCTGGAGGTTCCCTCAGTACAAGGCCAGCAGGAACGTTTCAATCCCTGTGTCCTCATTACCACGGTTTTTATTCACGGCCGCAGGATGGAAAATCTGTAAGGAATGCAGGATAATTCCTATCAAATATTTCCCTCAGTGACACCTGGACTCAGGCTCCATTGGTAACAGGACCCTGGTTCTCTGGAGTTAATTATCACCCACAGCAAAAGACCACTTCTCTATGGAGACCAACCTCCACCCAAGGCTTGAGACTGCAGGATTAAAACAAGACCAGTGGAGATGTGCAGGGCAAGTGATTTATTAAGGCAAGACGTTGAAACCTTTACATTCTGCAGTGAAGAGCAGGGTATCATTGAAAGATGGTGGAGGCCGGGCGTGGTGGCTCAAGCCTGTAATCCCAGCACTTTGGGAGGCCGAGGCAGGTGGATCACGAGGTCAAGAGATCGAGACCATCCTGGTCAACATGGTGAAACCCCATCT